CCCTTTTATTGTATTTTTTTTTTTGAAGATGGATAAGGTTTATGTCCCCCATCTTCTTCTTTTGTATCTGTTCACTTTATTAATTTTTTTTCTTATTATTATGATGGGGTAAGGTTTATGTCCCTTGTCTTCTTCTTTTGTATTTGTTCACTTTATTATTATTTTTTTTTATTTCGAGGGGGTAAGATTTATGTCTTCCTGATTAGATGTAACTTTTTTTCTTTCTAATTTAATAACATTTCTTTTGTACCGTTGAGATTTCCTTAAAAAAAAGGTACAAATTAAGGATTTCAATACAAAGCCAAATACTAAACAGAAAAAATAATTTCGGTTACACGGAGGAAAAAAGCAAAAGCAATTAGGTTTCCAAATCAATCTTGGAGTCTTAAGGACAAGGATCCTCTCCGGATCCTCTTTGTGGGAGTCCGGGGGATCCATCAATCACGGCCATTCATCGTACATCGTGCGGTCAATTTTTGTTAGATGCTATTTATATTCAATTTTAAACTTAAAATAATTTCTGATCGCACGATGTACGATAAACGATGGTGATTGATTGATACCTCAAATCCTCACAAAGAGGATCTAGAGAGGATCCTTTTCCAGAGTCTTAATCCGGTTGTGCTGTCATGCAGGTGGATGTATTGAAGAAGAACTAGGTTTATCTAGTTTATCCTTTTGCTTTTAGCTATAAAAGAGGGAGAAAGTTCATGCCATTGTAGGAATAAGTTCTCCGCAAAGCTTAGAGTAAAAATTGTAGGGATATAAGTATGATCGAGATTCCTTTTTCTTTTTTTGTCTTTTTCTTTTCTTATTCTCTCTTGATGATATTCTACTACGCAACATTTTGGGAGCCAAATATGAGACTTATAGTCAATAGAAATATTATTATACTACAGTGTTTGTTGATGCCTAAAATATTCAGGTTATGTTAGGGTTGGATTTGGGTTTAGGTTTTTTTTAATTAGGGTTGGGTTGAGTCATCTTTATTTTATTTTTCATACAAGTGATAATAGAGAAGGGAAATTGAACAAGGACTTCGAGACAAGACTAAATGTTGGATTGGATTAGAATTTGTTATGCCTCTAAAATGCCAAGGAATGCAAAGGAAGTCTATATGAAATAATATCTCATAATAAAATTCTTTTCCAAGTTATAATTCCGATCCACCCAAAAATTAATATAAAACAAGCAATTTTAAAATGACAAAATGTTTGTGCATACGTAGATAGACGGTAGAGAATAGAGATACAACAAATGAGTTAAATTGCCGTTCAAAGACTCCAAACTAATTATTAAATAGATAATGGACGAGATGGGATAATGGCAGATCTGATAATGTAGCTTGTAAGATTCGCAGAGAATTATGTCAAACACTTGAAGGTGTTCAGATAATTTTGTTTATTTATTTCTATTTCTGAAATGTTTAGAGAAAATTGAATTGGTGGATTTGTAAGTTGATGCATTGCATCATATATATGTTTAGTGGATAGGTTCGTTCTAAGCCACTAAATATTTTAAGGCGCTAATGGATTAATTGTCAACATTCATAATAGATAGATTAGTGGTTTGGAATCATATTTACAATTGAAAACATAATTTTAATCCATATTGCACTAGTTGCTCGGATTCCATTTATGAAACAAAGAGTTGCAAGAGGCATCTACATGGGTAATATACTTCACTAACTAATTCTTCGATATGGAGGAAGATTCGCACAAACAACAAAGAGAATAATATAACCCATAAAAATTCATGTCTCAAACAATTAACTGTTTATAGACGTTTAGGTACTCGTTCAATACATGTATAAGATTGAGGTTTTGAATTTTTTTTTTAAAAGGAGTTTACGTGTTCAATTCATGGGACATGTATAGTATCTCATCAAAGGAGTCAAGTCTATAGACATCCAGATGAATTGAAACAAGATTATACACCATAGGCATCTCAACCTCTGCAAAAGTAAAAACTGACACAAATTAACTTCCACTACAATTATTTACCATTACCAACCAAACAGATTCACCGTGCAAAACACTCTTTAGGCAATTTTTCGACAAGGCGCTTTCTAAGTCCCCTTCATATAAAATTTTGTAGTTCATTCCTCGTTAACTTGATCTCAATCCTTTGAGATTTGAAAATTCCTTGCTCAAACATAACCCTACCAATCTGGTATATATATAAATGAATGAAAGTATAATGAAGTTATTACTTTAGTCTAAAGAAGGCTTTTCAATTGCACTGTACAAATGAATAGTCTTTGGACCCGAATTTCACTTTATTTATGAGGTTGCCACTGACTCTATCTGCCGTTGATCTTCATGCCACGTGTTGATAATCTGGAAAGGCAGGGGTGCGATGGTCATTTTAGTCTGTAGGGCTTTGAATGGGTTGGGTGGGTTAGAGACTTTCATCGGAGCTGCAGTGGGACTCGGTGAGACCATGCCGTCGGGAGAGAGAGAGAGCGAGCCGAGAGAGAAGAGAGACAGGGAGGGAGAGAGATAGGGATTTGGTGAGAGGAAGGCATGCGGCTTGCAAGCAGACAGAGTCACAGGGGATGTATGATTCGAGTGAGATGGAGAAGGAGAGGGAGACAGCGTGAAAGAGAGAGTAGGAGAGGGAGGAGTAAGGATCGCTCGCTGAGGGTTTCACAGTTGGGAGGCCATGCTGATAGAGATAGATAGAGATAGAGATAGAGATAGAGATAGAGATAGGAGAGGGAGAGGGAGAGAGGGAGACAGAGAGAGAAGGAAAGGGAAGAGTGGGGATCTCAGCGCCATTGCTGCAGATCCTTGATCTTCTTCGATCCCATCTCCATGTTCTTCTTAGGCTCTCACAATTGCAGCATCACTCGCCCACTCATTCACTCACTCACTCACTCACTACAGGTACACCTTTTAACTCTTGCTCACTCTCTCTCCACTGAAATTTGAAGGTAATTTTCCAACCCTAAATTGATAGAGTTCATACCTTGATTTTATCTTAATATATCTCCATATGTGTAGTATAGATAGTTTTATCTAATGTTGTAGAATCCATGTCCTATCCAGAAATTCTGAGATGGTAAAGGTTACAGAAAAATTGGAAGGTATATAGAAATTCCAATATGAGTTCTCCGGCCGATTTGAGGTGGGTAATACAAACTTTTATATTAAGTTGATTTATTTTCGTTTTTTGGGATGCTTATTTTCATCTGGAAACAAGGCTGAGCATCCAAAAGTTTCAATCTTATACCCATTATTCAATACTGGCTCAATAATCATCAATTTTCCTCTGACTTTGTTTATGAATTCTGATATATAATCAAGGACACACCGACACACCAACGCCTCAATTTTTCGGCGAAACATCACCACAGAACCACCACCACTCACTCCGTTCTGCTCAGGACACACATGCGAAGGCCTTTCATTGTGCAGTGGCTACTGCCACTGTTCATCGGCTTCTCTTACAAGACTTACCGCTCCCGACCTCGGTAAACCACCCTTACACTCCTCCCTTATGTTTTCAATTTGGGACTTGAATTCAAGCTTGCATGTATTTTAGTTTTTCATACTTCTTTCGTCCAATCATCATCACCTTTTTTGTCTCTCTCTAAACAATTTCCACTTGGTTTTTAGAGAGAGAAGGTGGTAACAGGAGCAGTGGGAAAGAAGAAGGTATTTTCCTGTCTCTGCCCTTCGAATCTCTAGGGTTTGGCTTTGGCTCCGTTAGCTGTTGAGGTACAACCATATCTCACTCCCTTTGGTACTCTCTCTCTCTCTCCCCCCTCCTTCTTTCTCTTGCTAAAATCTCTGTTGGGTTTCTACCAATATGTCAATTATATAATTTATTTTTTGATGTGAGATTTGGTGCATTTGATTTGGGTTATGGTTTGAGATATTATTTGCAAGATTTCATTTTTGAGTTGGATTCATGGTTTTGCTTAAGATCTCTTTTTTTAATTGTCGCTGTAGCTTGCTGTGCATGTGATATTTTCTTCCAGGTCCAATATTATCCAAATTCATTACTGTATTTCAAGAGCTTGCGACTTATAACTTCTCTCCCAACTTCCAAGTGAGTCTTAGATAGCAAATCACCCTAATAATCTAAATACATTAAATGGTGAAAGTGAGAAATGGTGAATCTAAATGGTGGTGTGGTACATCATGTGGAAATCTTTTGAATTCAAGTTGTCTTTTTTTTTTAATTTTTTCTTTTCCCCTGTCTGTTAATTTAAATTGGGATTGGATATTGATTTGTTTTTGCAGATTAGGAGGAAAAGAGAAATCATGTGCATTTCATTGTTTTGGAGCATTGCAAATAACTACAATATACAATCAAATTAGGAAAAGATAAAAGAATATGCTTGATGACTGATTGGTTTATGGATTAGTAGTATAATTTGTGGTGCAGATCATGGTTTTCGGGTCTTTTACAGTTTTAGTGGTTGTGCTTAAGGGTAGATGATGATGTAGGATGGAGATAGTTTTTAGAGAATGCTAGATTTACGTTCGTTGGAGCACATTCAAGTAGTTTTGTGTCCCTGTGAGGTATTTGATATTCCTCATAGTTTCGTTCTTGACCATATTCCTTCTCGAATCTTCATTGATAAAATGTTTTCTTAAGCATCTTCTTTAAACGTGTCTTTTATGTTTGATCGAGTTATGACTTTCCCTACCTTTGTGTGCATGTACTGGTTTGAATTTATGTGCATTTTATTTGAAATGATTCGAATTGAATATTTGTAACCAAAAGTAGTGATTTTTCTAATTATGCCTCATGTTTTGTTGAGGACTTTGATATTCTAATTTCTTCTTGATAATACATCATTTTTGTAAGCGTATACGGGTACTTATTTTTCAACATTGTTTAAAGATCACATTATCTATATACTAAAAAAGCACTGTTCACGAGCTCAGTTGTTTTTATTCTCAGTCTTTTCTATGTTGCACAGTGAATTTACTGGTTTGCCCCTTATGTACGCGTGTTGGTCATCTAAGGAGGACATGAGACTGGATGTATGCGTGCTGGTCATCCAGGAAGAGGAGACTGGATGCACACGTGTTGCTCATCTGGGCACAGAAGGAAGCTGGAAAAGTTGGGGGAACTGGGAGTTTCTCTCTCATTCCACTCTCTTCATTCGCTTCGAGAACAATTTTTCTCGAGCTCTCTCTCAAGCTCGGAACTCCTGGCAGGCAAGAAGTTTCGTCTCTCTCTATCTCACACCTTTTTGTTTTTCATGTCGTGGTCGAATTTCCTTTGCCTGATGGAGTTGTTGCATTCGGCAAATTTTGCACTATGTTTGCTTTGTTGTGATTAATTTTTTGTCGTTTGATTTAGTGAATCTTGGGAAAATCCAAGTTGAATCCCATTCTGATTTGAAGAAATTTTATACCCAGAAAAGCAATTGGCCCCCCGTTCTGATTTTAAGAAATTTTAAATCCAGAAAAGCTTGGGTTTCCTACATATTTGTTTCTGATGGTTGAAAAGTTTAATCTTTTTTATATTTTGATTTATCTCCTGTAATTTGAATAAAGATTGTTTTATTTATTGTTTACATATTAGAGTTTTTAAAATTTTTATCTAGTTTTTTGTTCTTTTGATGCATTTGCTGGTATGATCTTCTAATTGCTGAAGTTTATAGAGCATTTCAGTTAGATATTATTAGTAAAGATAGCAGCTCTGAGCTTTTTTCTCCTTGAATTTTACTGTTATGATTCTTGGGTGTGTTTATTTTTCTTGCTCAACAGTTTTTCTAATGCCATCAGCTGTGATGGTTAATATTCTGAATTCGTCGACTTTGATAGGATTAAAGTATAGGAGGTTTATCCAAATTTTGATATCGTGTGGTATTTGTGGATCTTAAGTGATAGTTTTTCTTTGATATGTGGGCTTTGAGTTAATTACAATTTTTTTGTGCTTTTCTGTTTAATTCAGTGAAGACTCAGAATGGGAAAGTTATGGCTGGAGATTTGCCACCTTTAATGGTGAGATTAAAGGCGTTTAGAGAAACGTATTCTGAGGCGGACATCAGAGGTATCTTAAGTGGGTTGGATTCTGACTTCGGTGATGAGATTCATCCTTCCTTAAGGTGATTCATATTGTGCAATGTTCAGTTGAATGCATGTAAAAGCCAAGCTGTTTATCTTATCGACCTCATTCACTCACGTGTTCCTCTGTTCATTCATGATTGTGTTGAATTTATTCAGGTTAAATGTGTCTTGTTCATTCATGATTTTCTAGTCATGATCTAAAGCAACATACCAATTGTAGTGTGGATACAAATTTCATCCCGAGTTGATGAATTGGTGAAACACCACCTATTGAACAAGAAACATCATTAGCCTAATTCACAACACCTGAAAAAAGGGGAGGGTGTCCAATGAGGCTTCGATGCCTAGGTTAGAGAATAATTTGAATAAGTTATAACAGAGGAAGTATATTCTTGCTTGGTGTTGCTTTATTTAATATTGATATGTGGCAAATCGATCATACTTATGTGAATGAATGTTTTGATGTTAATTATGTTGGTTTCAAAAGGTTGCTCACTTATGAAAATTCCTCCATGCTTTCGCATAAGAGGTTGAGGCACATCTCTTAAAGGAAGAATCATCGCTTTAACAAAGAAAAACATGTTGCCACAACTTAATTTAAGTAATTTTAAAGACTAGTCAACTGCTTTAAGGGAAAACTTGCAAACGCTAGAAAAATAGGGCCTAAGAGGAGTCAATATCTCCTTGCAATTATTCACACTTACATTTGTAGTCCTTTCCCGAATAAAACATTATGTGGTAACTCTTATTTTGTCACTTTCATTGACGATTTTCAAGGTTTGGATATGTTTATATGATATCATACTTAAGTTTTGGAGTGTGTTAAAATCTTGCAATTGGAAGTCAAAAAACAACTTGATAAACATATGCAAATTGTAGATCAGAGAGGGGTGGTAAGTACTTGGCAGGTACATATAAGTCAGACAACAAGGGGGACCATTTGCAATATATCTTGAACAAAATGGAATCATTTCTCAATAACAACCCCAGAAACTCAACACCAATTTAAGTTGCAGAGAGAAGAAATAGGACCTTGAAAGACATGATTCGATCCGTGTTTGCACATTCACCATTACTTATTTTCTTATAGAGTGAAGTTTTGAAAATATTCAACTCTATCATCAATAAAGTGCTAAGTAAGTCAGTACAAGTTATTCCTTTTGAAGCATAGATCGGTAAAAAAACCTTGGTTTTACCATTTTTCGTGCATGGGGATGTAAAGTTGAAGCTAGGTTTTGTAATTCAAATGAAAGAAACTGGATCCAAGCGTTACTTGCTCCACAAGAAATCACCAGTAGATTGCCAATAATTCTACGGTCACCTGCTGAACTTGATTCTCAAATGGAGGATGTAGAAAATGTGGTACTACTTATTGATGTCATCTATACAAATGAAGCAGCTCACATCGATCTTCCAACTGAGACAAATGAGGCAGATGGTATGAATCCAGACAACAACATTGCAGTGACCAACATTATTGAAGCATTAAATCTGAGAAAATCACAAAGAACGCATAAATCTGTAATTTCCTCAGAATACTTGTGTTATTTGCGAAAAACAGAATACAATATTGGCGATGAAGATGGTTATGCAACTTACACTCAAGCTGTCAATAGTACCCGTTCAGATTTATGGCATAAAGTAAGTCCATGAAGAAAAATGGAGTTTGGACTCTTGTATCTAATACGTCAGCTACTACAAAACCCATTGGTTGCCAGTGAGTTTTTAAAACTAAAAGGGACTCACAAGGCAACATAGAGAAGCACAAAGCTAGACTTATGGCCATGGGCTTTACATAAGCGGGAAGGAATCAATTACAATGAAACATTTTCACTTCTCTCCACTAAACATTCCACGAGGAATATAGTGGCTCATACTGTTCACTTAAATTTGGAACTTCATCAAATGGATGTAAAACGGCTTTCCTCAATGGACAATTAGAAGAAGAGATATTCATGCAACAACCACCAGAATTTGTTGAAAGGGAGGAGTCTACAGTCCGCAAATTTAACAAGTCCATTTATGGACTATAACAAGCATCTAGGCAATGAATTAAGAAGTTTGATCAAGTAATGGCCTGCTTCTGATTTTGAAGAAAATAAAGTGGATGAGTGCATTTATCTCAAGGCCATTGGCTCCAAATTAATAATTTTAGTTTAATGTGTTGATGATATCTTACTAGCTAGTTCAGACATGAACTTATTACAGTCATCAAAGAGAATGTTGACTAGTGGTTCTGGTTTTGATATGAAATACTTAGAGGAAGCTCATTATGTTTTTGGGACTGAGATTAAAAGAGATCGATCCAAGAGAGTTCTTGGTCTGTCTCAAAAGAACCACATTAACAGAATCACTAAAGGTTCAACATGCAAAATTGTTCAAGCGGAGAATTACCAGTTGGCAAAGGAGACAAGATGAGCAATGAACAAAGCCTCAAGAATGAACTTGAGAAAGAAAATATGAAGGACAAACCTTATGCATCTTTAGTAGGCAGCCTAATGTATGCTCAGGTATGTACAGGACCAGACATAGCCATTTCAGTGAGTGTGCTAGGGAGGTTTCTAGCAAATCTTGGTACAACACATTGGGTTGCAGCTAAAAATGTCTTGAGTTATGTCAAGAGAACCGTGGACTTCATGTTAACTTACAGTTGTGTAAATGATTGAAAATCAACCAATGGTTATATTTTTCTGCTAGATGGAGGAGCAGTTTCATGAAAAAGTGCAAAACAGAATTTGCAATGCTTCTTCGACAATGGAAGTTGAGTTATTGGCTGTTGTGCAACAACTAAACAGGTCATCTGGATCAGAAACTTAGTGAAGTGTTTGAGAGTGGGTGACAATATTGAAGGACCTTTGAAGATAAATTGTGATGATAAAGCATCAGTATTCTTTTCAAGAAACAATATAGTCTTTGGCAAGTCGACTAATGGACGTACAGTGTTTGAACGAATCAAGAGGGAATTATTGACATCCAACATATTGGCAAGATCTCATGATAGCGGATCCCTTGACAAAAGCTTTAATAGTGAGAGTGTTAAAAAACCATGTCTTCAGTATGGGACTCGGAGAAACTTTTGATTCAATTAATGAGTAGAAGTGAACACTCAGTTGTTTAAACCATCTCTCTGTTAATTTGTGACTTTGTTAGTTATTTTCGGATTTCGTTTGATCAATAAACTTTGTTATTCTCATAAAATTATTTGAGTTTGATTTTGACAGAATTCTCATGTTACAGAAATTGACATACAACATCAGCTGTATAGTCAGAACATCATAACTTGTCAACATTGTATTAGATGTGTATGTAATCATGGAGTGCAAATGCAGTAATGTACACACATATTTTATATATATATATATATGCATTTAGTTTTCCATGGTTCAGCATTTTAGTCAAAGTGACAGGTTGTTAAGAGGAACAATTGCATATTATGAAGGCTCAATCATCACCATGGTTCTTATTATATCAGGGTAATCTTTATTTAGTAAAACTCATTATGAACGTCAATAGACTTCAGTCCAACTGACTTACTTGATACTTAAGAGATCTTGGAACCCTAATTGAGTAGGAATCATGGAGTCAGAATCCTCATTTAGCAAGACATATATTCTTTGTTATGGTGGGATACCATGGTGATTTGGTTAATATCTCTTACCTAAACCATGCATATAGGTTTTCTCTGCTCTCACAAATACACGTTGTCAATACGAGCTTAAAGCCTGTCCTATAAGTGAGAGCATTATAGTTTTGCTGAGAGTAGAAGACGCCCTTTTAGCACTAATATCGCCATGTCGTCTTCAACAGCAGGTAAGGTTTCTGCAGACTCTCTATTCCAATATGCATATATACATATCTCCATATATATGTATGTTCATATGTGTTTGTCTATATGTTGTAATCCTTTTACCATGTTGATGCTTTAATAATAAACCTCAGAAGCATAAGATGATTTGTCAACTGGCCAGCCGCCATTTCCATGTTTAAATGGCATTAAAAATCAATGTAAGAGACAATGAAAATAAGCCTTTGGCTTTATAAAATTATTTCGACCAAAACGAGACTGAAAACAGGTTTTCTGACCCTTTGCTTTTCCACTTCTTTACTACTTTATACAATTACAATCTCTTTTTATACAACTATAATTCAACACTAATTTAGTATCAAACTCATATTTGAATCTAAGACTTCTCACTTACAACTAGAGCGAAATACACTATGCTAGTAACAATTGCAACATTTTTTTAACGGCCACCGAAAAACACACTGTTTACAATTGCAAAAGCTGTCGACATAATAGTACAAATCATAACAGAGAGTGATGAGTTTAAGATTCCTGGTGAATTTCAGAAGCAACAGTTCTAGCCCAAAACTTCAGATGTTTCTTCATGTCAGCAGCTGCGGAGACTCTCGGCAACCGCAGGTTTAGCAAGGGCGAATCTGGCCGTTTTATAAGCCACGCTTCTGACAAGTAAGGCCTCATCACTTCACCCTCTTTTTCATCATCTTTATCTTCTTTAGGTACTTCAATTTCAGCAGAATCATCATTTTTATTCCGTAACTTTTTACTATTAGACACACCAAGTCTCTGCAAGCCAGGTACTAAACTCATCATTCTTGGACTCAAGTGTTCTTTCTTAAACGTGAACCCTAAGTCTATGAACCCCTTAACTTCTTCGAGCTCTAGCTCCCCCAAGCTCCGGCAGCTCATCGATTTCTGAAGCTTTTGCGCCGCTGCAGCAGCCGTTGCATAACCTGGTGATGATGTGGATGATGAGCATCTTCTGTTTTTCCGGGGACGTTTTTGGTGATCAGATGACTGAGACCGAATTAACATTCTGTTGGCCAACATATTTAATCTTGTTGGTCTAGTTTTGTTCTTCTGCACGTTGACGAATTCGTTCGAGTTCATGTCATCCTCCTCTTCATTATTGGAATCATCCTAGTCATTGTTGCAGCATACGAAACATCAGCTAGGCCAACTGTGTGTAACAAAATCATTACCGGTATTTTTCTTGGAATTAAAGAACTGGAATTGCTCCATCGAATTTTAATTTTAGTCAATTTGTTTTCAATTTAACCAATTCCAAAAACAGACGAAATTAAAATATGGTTAAAATATATACAAGGACAAAAACTGTATTCAATCCTTTGTTTAATACCTGTGGAGTGGTCATTTGTGGTGAATCTGATGAGTTGTCTTCATATAAAAGTGGTGAGAAATCGAATTCTTCATCTGCATGAGGCAAGAAGGAGATGGTGGATGATGGGTAAGTAAAAGAATCTGTGACAATGGAGTCCTGAGGTGTTTGATCTTCAATCGTACTACCTTTGGGACTAAATAATGAAATTGGCTCAGCGAAAAGAATGGTTTGGCGAAACCATAGACGATCTATGGCTCCTATAAGACATAAAAAACTGTAGTTATTGGCCATGGAGATGAACAAAAACAAGAAATCTAGAGAGAGAGAGAGAAAGGGAGGGAAGGAGGGAGGGAGGTGTTGGCAAGAGAAATCTAGAGGTATATAAAGTGGATTTTTGTGGTTGTGAATTGTAGCGAAAGAACAAAAAAAAGTGAAAGCAAATGAGTTCGTAGAAGTGGTGGAAACTCTAATAGTCGAAGATGTGGTCAGAAATATTGGATTCTCTTGACTCCACATATCTTAAAGAGGCAAAATGGCAAATGTGCAAAAATTTGCTAGTGAGATAGTGTGTCGTGATCGATGGTCAGGATATGCTTTGGAATAATTATTATAAACAATATTTTGGTGGCCATGTCCATTGTTTTCGGACTCTAATGTTTATCCTTGACTAGACTACAAATGGATGTGCACGAGTCTTGGATTAGCACTGGCTTAAAAAGCTTAAATCATTAGAAAATGAGTCATAAATTTATACACTTCTTTACATGCAAATTCATCTTGCACGTGGAGAGGTGGATAGGTGCTAAAAAAACAGACAAATAATAGGTGCAACCTCACCATGGACCGAAATCAAAATTACTTGGAAAGAAGACTCATGATGTTATATTTATTAGATTATCACTAGTCCAAAAAAGATTAAGTTGTCAAGAAATTCACCAGCAATGTATATTAAACTTACATGAGATGAATTATTAGTTGCTGGATTATATTATTTTCTTTTCTTTGAATATTAAAATAAAAAGATAAATAGTGTAGACTTGTTAGGTTGAAACCTTGGATTCATTAGTGCATTCCAAATGAATTGGCATCAAGTCTTCTAAATAATAATTTAGTTTCTAAACTATTTTGTATAGAGATATAGTGTAAAGTCAGACCAAATTTGGACCAAACGTGGTAATGGTTTCTCAATTTACAACAAATAGGATCATAGAAGTCTTTTCCCATACTATGATGTGTGATTTCCCTGTAATTTTCTGTATATACTGATATTATAGCTTTCTGAATCTACTCAAGTCCCATTATCTCTCCATTTCTTCAATAACCCCTTGAGCTTCCATCTAGTTCTACTATCTCGTCTGGTACATTCCCTCTGTTAGACAACTGGACACTGCTTTCAGCTGGTTCATCTAGTTTGGAAACCTTTCTTATATAAGAAGGCATTTCTGAAAAGCTATTCCTCACAGAGCTCCAATCTGCGGAGAATGATGTTCTTGCTGATTGCGGAAGTTGCCGTTGCTTTCTCCTTCTATTCCTCACTTCAGCATGCCATTGCTTTAAAATGTCTGCCATGTTATCTTCCATTATCTTACCCCTGAATTGTGAACCCATCTGTGTATATATATAAACAAAATTACTTCAGATATGAAAAATTAGGTTTTTGGATCAAGATATAGAACAACACTTCAGATCAATGTACTTCACCTGTGTGACAAGTGCGTAGAGAGGAAGAGTGATGTAGCTGCAGAGGACTTGAGTGGTCACCCTAAAAAAATCAAAGGAATTAATATGCAATCAACTAATAACAATTTCAAGTAAATAGAATAATTTTGAACTCTGATCATAATTAAAAAAATCTAGGTAGTCTTACGCTAAGGAAATTCTCGTAACAATGCTCACAGTGTGCTCGTGGTAGCAAGATTTGAAACCGAATTGGATCTAATAGCAAGGAGAGAATTAACCATAAGTATATTGTTTGTCATACGTTGTTTAAAATTTCTTCGTTTTTTTTAGAGCAAATAGCTAATCTCATCTAATCCTCTTCTATTTATATAAAAATACATGCGGGAAAGAGAACTCACTGAAACCCAAATGAAGAAAGCGAACTCAAATGCATTCTACAAGGTCCAAAGAAAGTAAAATCAGTTCAATTAATGTTACACAATGAAATCTTAGGAAAGTTAAGAGGGCATACCAAAAATAGAGTATAATGTAGCAGCAGCAAGACAAATCTAGGTTTCCTGAACCAGAAGAGATCATCGTTCACTCGCACAAGTGGTGTTCCGACGATCACACTGTTCTGCTCTTTAATTTGAAGAGCCATTTTCGCAACGATATACTCAAGTTTGGCTCCTAGAACCAGAACGGCCTACAAAGAAAAGCCAATTATTGTATTTGAAACACATAAGAACTAAAGTACTGCAAACATATATACAACAAATGCACTTACCAAGAGTGGAACATAGGATAGCCAGAAATATACATGCCAACCTGGTAAGAGAACAAATGCCATGAGAATAACACTTCTCAATAATCTCAATCACAACACAAACTAATTACAATTAAGGGTCAATTACACATTGGAGCAGTCTAGTTTGCGGCCAGGACAATATGGTCCATGTCGTTTAAAAATTAACGAAAACAACATAAATGAATCCTCTTGGCCACTCCTTCAATTTGGTCCATGTCATTTAAAAATTAACAAAAACAACATAAGTTATGTATCCTCTTGGCCACTCCTTCAGTCTAACCATCAAGTTAACTTTTTTTTCTTTTTTTTTTTCTTTTTTAAAATTTTTCTAACGTAGCACTCAGTTGACGGCCTTTGTTGTTTGCATACATAGATGCTTGACTGATAACATGTGAATTAATAATTAAGAACGTTCTCAAAAGAAAGCCTCAGCGGTCTTGATAGGGGAAGATAAAGATTTCTTACCATACACATCGACGAGCATAAAAATGACTACCGCAAACCACATTAAAGGGCTGATTGCAACCATGATCTTGAAATCTTCCTCCAACGATCGCTGTATGTATTTTTTGAAATCGAAGCTTGGCCTGCTTGGCAAATGAGCCTGCAGAAAGTTGATCATTAGCAGCAAACTCAATTGATTCAATCAAAACAGTTAGAAAGTTGGACTTGATCTTCATTAAGTTACCGCTATGAAGCCGTGTCGGATGGTGATGTAGTCAACTTTTGCCACTGAACTATAAAATTGCCTGAAAAAACATCTCTGCTCCATATTCACAATTATAATCCAAAACCAAAAGAATTAGAAGTGAACTTATTCTCTGCTGTGCTGTTATCCATATAAGATTAAGGGGTTTTTCTAACTTTAATCATTCAAAAAAATTGAAATTTAAAATAAACCTGGTGCTAGATTACATATAAAATTAGGGATACTTTGAATGCGGTCCCTAGCTATCAATATTATTTGATTGAAACCTTGTTAGTTTTTAGTTTTTGATTGAGGTCCCTGACATTAATGTAATTGTTTTTACCATATTTAGGGTCTCGTATTTAGATCTCGCACAAATACTCTGGGGACTTAAATGTAATTATGTGATAAAGGAATGGGCAAATATGTAATAAGTGAGGAGCCCTTATTTTATAAAAGGACTCCTCACCCTCACAATTGGAGGAGGCCAATTCCTAGGCCTTAAGCTCTCATCCTCTCACATCCCCTCTCAGATTCATTACAGAGGCTCTCTCTCTCTTTCCCCCTCAGAAATACGATATCAGTGTGGACGTAACCCAAACCTTGGGATGAATCACGATACATCTTGTGTTATTTACATTTCATGCAGATTCACGGTCTGATTTACGTTGTTCCAAGACCTCCGGTTTTGTGCATCAACATTTGGCGCCGTCTGTGGGAATCGATACGAAAAGTTGTGTCAGTTCTCTTTCATTGTTCACCTTCACCGTGAATCTGCAGAAAACCCATCTCCCCATTTCATACGATTTCTTTGTAAACTTTCAGAATCCTCACGCCACAAACTTAAAAGCCAAAACCTTTTTCCAACCTAGAGAAGGAAACAACGAAAGCAATAATTTTTTTATTTCTTTTCTAGAGGACTTGGGTCAATCATAAAATTGATTGGCAGCCACGAATTTTGGGCTGGGAGGAGAATCAAAAGCCTCAACCATGGAGTTGGAAAGCGATTCGGGAAGTCACTCACTGCAGTTGAAGATTGTGGATGGCATTGAATAAATTACTTGACACATGTTTGAGGCCAGCCAGGCACATGCCCTACTAAGGAGGCATATTGTTCCACAAGTCCAAGGGACAACACATCCTCAAGAACCCCTTGCTCGCCGACTCTATCGTCCAGAAGTCTAGCATCAAATCTCACCAAGAAGCTAGAATCCGAGTTGATGACCCGAGCCCAACTGATGACCCGAGACTAGGCATATGCCCAGGCCCTCGCTCCGCCTCCTCTGCCACCCCCTCCACCCCACGTTGCGCCTCACGGCGTTGATCATTCGAAGAACCAGCTTCCCTGCGCTAATTGCAAGGCCATCCTCAACGTGCCTTATGGCCTCGCGAGGTTCCGGTGCCCTTAATGCCAAGTTGACCTGGCTGATGTCTCGTAGCTCCAGTTTGCAGCTGAGTCGCCTGCGGACCCGTAGGCTCGGCGTTCTAGATTCCCTCACTTCGGCGCTTCAGATTCTCTTCAGCTTTGATGAAGGGACATATATAAGAGGAATCAAGAACTGTGATAACTAATTACATATTTGCCACACTCCTAAGGGGCAGATCTGGAGATGTACTGTCCACCATCCAAAGGTCCTTGTGTCAGATGATGCCAGACAGATCTCAAGAGTTCAGCTTCGAGAAGAGAAAAATGGTGAAACCCAGATGGGATTCTGCTATCAAAATCTTGATTATCCTCCTCAATCTCCATCGGGCCTTAGCGTCTGTAATTCGGTCTAGTGAGGCCACCACTATGATGGAGCTCGAAATTGAGCTCAAGAAGGCCTCCGAGTCTTTGAAAGTGTCGCTCCTCCAATGGTTTTGCGTCTGCGTCCTTGATATCCTGATCACAGGCATCTTTCTGCACGAGGTCAAATGCGATGGAGTAGATGAGGAACATAGTCTTCTTCAAGGCATCAACAGCTGGAAAATCAACGAAGAAAGGAAGGCTTTGCTTTTGAAGACCCCGAGAATCATAAGGATGCTAAAGTTGGCGAATCCAATGCCACTTTAGAAAAAGAAGTCACACACTCAGAATACAAGGATCGATGCTGACACCGAAAGTGAAGAAATTATTCAGATTCCTTCACATGGGTAGACTGTTCACTTTAGCTTTAATCATGTAAGCTGTGGCGAGCATGTAACCAGGGTTAGGTTTGTAAACCTAAGTGGTTAATCGTCTATATGCAAAAGCAAAACAGAAAAACAAAGTAAAAGCAGAAAGCAAAAGAAGATAAAAAGAAGCAGACATAATTACGGTAATGATGGCAT